CGATTGTGTAAGGATGTATAACTTACAGTACTGTCTCTAAGGGTTTATTGTATGTTGCCGCCTCATAATGTCACTAACATTCAGGGTCTTTGAGGATAAATTAGGCCCCGATAGTTCAGTAATAACATGGTGCCAATGAGAAATTACATTAGTGTTTGTTAGAGTGATCTTAATAGCTTTAGGGATAATACTGGTCTTACAGTATATTTTTACATAATTTAGGGACATTATTGCCAGGGTTCTTGCAGATAATTGAAAAGTCCTAAAAGGCATTGAATTAATGAATATAAATATAAGGCCTTATTTGTATTGAAATGTCTTAAATCTGCCTTTAATAGCCTGAAACAATGCTAAAACATGGGAAGTATAATTTTATGAATCTTTTCAGTGTAAGATCGTTCTTAAATTTCATGGCAATAAAAAGTAATTTAAAAGTCTTAACTCTAACTTTGCCCAAGGCTGTAGAAACCCCTGATCCTATTGATGCACTGCATTTGTGCATCGATGTTATAAACTTCAGTATTTTATGAAATGTCCCGCTTTTGATGCTTATTGATTCAAATTACAGAAGCAAAGATCCAGATAAACACTGTACTTACAATTCCTTGCACAAAATGTCAAGCCCCAAGCAGGCCTTGTAATCTTGTTTTGATTTTTAATCCTGGTGTGAATTTTAAAGTGTATTAAAAATATATAAAAAACGGCCTTTAATCACCTCAGAGAACATCCATTTATCTTGTCATCAGGATTCTGGCAAAGATCTCTGCAGACAGCTTGTGGTATGAATTCAATTTGAACAATTACAATGCTACAGGCCTACGTGCTGCATGTTTATTTTATAGTGTCTATTTGTCATCTCTAGTTATCATTGTAATGTATATTAAACCTTGGGAGGTTAAAAATAGCCTGAAACAGGTTGAGTAGAATAAGAAATATTCAGTCTAGTTTCTATAGGGAAATGCGTCTATCCTTAGAGCGTTGAGGGATGTGTGGGTGAATGCAAAGATGCACTATTACTGTAGTTAAAGAGAATCAGACACATACTGTGCATATATACACAAAATATCTGGCTAATTGAATCCCTGGTGATTGTTGTGGGTTCTTTAAAGCTCCCAGCCAGACCTCAATGATCCATCAACAACTAAGCACAGATGAAAGACGACTAGAATGTACTTTAACCAGCGGCCGATCTACGCCCCCTCAATTCAGCCGCGGCCTACCTTCTATATACCTTTCATGAAATGTTTACACATCCTTGACATGTTGTTATTCATGATATAGCCTAGCTTTGTTTACGCTGAAATGTTCAGGCACGTAACATGCACTTTGTTTCTGTTTTCTTCCTGTACACATTGACGATGAATATTTGATTTATGTTTTCTGCCTTACAACCCATGAGCATTCCTGCAGGCCTTCAGAAAGATCAATACAGTTCAGTTTGGGGTCAGCATCTGGGAGTGGAGGTCACAGCGAGTCTGTGCTCCAGGCGGAGAATAAGACGAGAACAGACAAAGCTGCCTTTAGGACATTGCATCAATTGGGCATTCACGGGGGAATTAATCAATAGAAAGGAGTCAGAGAGCCATGAGTCAGAAGCCGTACATGTGTAGGTAGTCAGTTTGAATGTTTGTTAATGCTGAAGGTTTGAGACCCCCTGAGAAAAAACATTGACTGTGATTATTCATTTATTAGATAGACAACAGAGATATATCATTAGCGTGCTGCAGTCTTTTTTGCATTCGTGTACAAGCTTCGTGTACACTCCAGTGGCGGTTCTAGAGCAATTTTACTGGGGGGGCTGGGGCCAGTTGTTTCATGAGAGGGGCACAATAACAAGCGGGTTAAAAAGACAAAGACAGTATAAAGTAATTGTGTAAAATAAACATAAAATACAGTAATTGATAATTGTTTTTGTAAGATTATTTGTTTTAGTAAATTTAAGTTACAGTCCTTTGTTTCAGTCGTTTTTTTCATTTAGAGTATTTGTTTTAGTAACTTTAAGTGACAATTGAATTAAAAAACATAAACAGTATTTGCTTTTATATAAGGTAATGAACAGTTTAATCTCCACTGTACATCCGGGTCTTTGATTTAGTTCCAATAAATCGTAATATTGTAACCTTTTTTTTGGAGGGGGGCCACAGGGGGGTCCCTGGTCAGTGTTACAGGGGCACTGGCCCCTGTTGACCCCTCCCTAGAACCGCCCCTGTCACTCTCTAATTCATTGGAACATAAGGCAATGAGGACTATTTTGAAACACGTTATTGCCATTGGCAGGATTCTTATCATAACATCTGATGTCTGCTCCAGATCGTTCCAGAAAAGTGCAGCATTGATTGTCTGTCTATAAGGTCATGGGCTCTGGGATGTCTAGCTGTGTCAGATGTCACTTCCCCTACATGATATCAAACATACACTGCAATGAAACGGTCCAGGCCTAACGCACTGCCAAACTCGCCCTGACACTTCCCTTTCATTAGCATCCCATCTGATGAGCTCATTTCCGCGCCAACACTGTTATCCCAAGCCAAGCCTGAAGACAGACGCACATATGCTCCCTAACACACAGTCACACACTTTCAACCACTGCTTAGGGAGCCGTTTGATCCGTCTATTTATCATTTATGTCAGAGGGGGGAAGTTGAAAGTCCAAAAGCTATCGATTGTTTTCATCTCGACACGAGCAGATTCAGAGCCACTGGCAATGAAGTGCTTCAATTGTTGTCAAAGCAGCCAGTGGTTCGCTTGTGAGTGTGTGTGAAGCTGGAGGTGGGGGTGTTGGAATCCACTTTGCAAATACACTGACAAAAAAAACAAGCAATTGAAGGAGGAAAAGGATATAAACAAGAAGGGGAAGTAAAGTAATTGTGTTGCGGCGGAGGGTTAAGCGAGAAATGCTTGCATTTTTATGGGCTCAATCTTTAAAGGGCTGTTTCAGCAAGTTGAGAGAGCGTAGACCGCATTGATACTTTGCTTAGATCACAGGCCGGAGATTCTCAAGTTCAGCACTTTTATGATTGCCTCCCTTCATATACACATACATACAAGTGTGTGCATGCCAGCCACATACAAATGCACGCACACACCCATAAACACATCCATATAAAAACACCATCACACATAATCACTTTATCAGCCTTGTACTGCCTGTGGTAGCATCAATTGATTTGCTGCCAGTACACATCATTCTTCTCCAATTCTGTTAAATCCCCCACGCATGGGAGATTAGTATCATAAGATCCTGAAATTAATTTTAATAGTAGTTTATTTAGGGAGGGTGAACAAATACAACTTTATGTATCTAGGCCAGGGCAAAGCTTTAATGTTATGTTTATCTGACACTCGTTATTTGGGGTTTAGGGCTTTAGGTAGTAATATGATCACCGATAAAAATGGACGAAATTAATACATTTCACAGGCTGATGGTGTTTAAATTCAGGGAGTTTCAGTATTTCAGATGAGCCTGGAGCCAGAGGGTTGTGAGATAATGTGTATCTCTATAGCAGTATTAATGTAAAAAACAAAAAGAGTTAAACAGCCTCTCTGTAATATGAATGTACTTTCTCAGTAAAGCAGGGATGAACTTTTTAATTCTAGAGTGTCTCAATATTTCTCTTTGACAGGCTGTTGTCCCGTCATTTCCCTTAAATTAGAAACAGGAAGTTTTTCTGATGTTCTTAGTCATTATCACTCTTTTACCATTCAAGAGTTGTCAGTGTAAACATACCGGTTGCTATGATGAGTGTCTTATTGTAGGTTATAAACACAACAGGTCTTTAACCTTTCTTCAACCTAATCTGTTTCATTATTATTTTGACTCATTTCCAGTTAACCCTCTAGTCACTCTATTTAATGAGTAACTGTTGATAAATGGTGTTACTCTTCAACAACCTTTAACAGAGGGAACAGTATGAAGAAGGAATTGATAAAATAACCAAATTAATTAATGCTGTACGGGAAATAAATGACTGAATTGTCAAGTGTGTGTGTTTGTTGGTGTGTGAGAACATTTCCCTATAGCTGGACTTTCATTCAGCACAGCCATCCAGTGCAATCATGCTTTGCTAAACACAGAGGTAGATCTGCCGCCACGGTATCCTCAAATGCCCGTTCAAAGCAATAAACAGCGATGTAATCCACTCCACGGCTCTACACGACTAGAAATGTTGAATCAATTCATTCTGGAGCCTTAACTGTGCTTTGATGTGTCATGAATGATACTTGGTTATTTCAGCCAAAACTACTTTTATGTCCATTATACTAAAATAAAACACTTCCCTTTTACATCAGGCAGCTGCGAGGAATTGTAGCCTTCCTGACATCAGCTCAACAACAGTTCCGACAAAATCAACAGCTCTAATCCCTGCCGAGCTGTGGGCCCACGGAGCATGCCAGGGATTAAAGAGTCCAGCTCACCACGTCTCTCTATTTAATTTTTACAAGGCTGTGCCTGGTCTTATTTTCATTTCAATATTTTAATCACAGAAGAACAGCAAAGCTGCATTAAGTGACTTTTAACCACATTTGATGCAATAATTATTGCATAATGGGGCTTTTGAATGTTTTTGTGCAAAATTCTTTAGGCTTGGCCAAATGAGGCCCTAATGGTTTTTAGTTTATGTTGTGGAAATGCTGCGGTACAGCTGGCAGACTTCCGAATGCAGACATTGAGGACATCATAATGAACTCAACTATAAACAAAACAGAAACATTGGTTTGGTCTTTAGTTTATTTGACGGGAAAATAAAATAAACATCTCAGCTTATTTTTTAAGCATAACTGAGTGAAGTCCAAGATTTATTTTCCACTGCAATCTTTCATAAAGTGTATTTACCCATTCATATGAACAACATAAAATTAACCTAAAAGAATACATGCAGTGCAATACGTAAACAAGCCGAATTAAGATAAATAACACCAGAACATGGCTTGTGTCTTGTTAAGCTACCACTTATATTCAGTCTGACTACAACTAACTTTCTCTTTCTTTTTTATTATAGCTATACTGGAAGAGTTGTAGGAAACGGTCTGCACGCCCAGAGGCAAAACCCAGAGGTCAAAGTTCGCAGCCCGAACCCTACACTGGCCGAGGTCAAGGAGAGGTTAGAGCTCTTCAACCAGGTAAGATGATCAGCATGAAGAAATCTCTCATCAGTTATAAAGTCATAGCATTCACCTTAACAAATGTGTTTGTTCCTCCATATGTCAGAAATAATATCTGAATGCTAAGGGGCTCACTGCAATTACTACATATGTACAAACAAGTAGAGATAATGTGTTACTGATTAGCCTTATTAGACTGTTCCCTGTTGCCTTGTTTAAAGTGGATAGCAAGATTCAGTAAAATGCAGGCATCAAAAGTCATTACAGGTTCAGATGGTTAATAATAATGGCCGTTTTAAGTGTATATTTGCAAAACAACAATTGTTCTCTATTATTAAAATAGTCTTCACACTGAAACAGGTCAATAGTTGTTAGTAGTCCGAAATGCTTGTGTCTATGTAACGATCTAATATCACTTTATCATATCAAATATAGGCTCATTTATGCTACACACAAATAAAAAACAACATTCATTAACTGTACAGGCTTAGTTGTATAGAGCAGTTAAGCAATAATAATTTTAATAACAATCAAATGTTTCTTTGTTTTTAACATGCTGGTATTGGAGAAACTTCTCTCGATATGAGTCAACTATGGGATTATGTAACCAACGACTCTACAAACTGAATTGAATGAATTTTTGTCTAATTAAAACGCCCCAGACAATATAACCCTTGAAGTTCTAAAATGTCCTTGCCATTTTTCTCAGATCTAAAGACTTGTTTTGAGCGCAGAGGCAGATATCAAAGACGAATGAAAAGGATAAAGGGAGAAATGGAGACAGTGACAAAAAAAAAGTGAATTACTGTGGAAAGAAAAAAAAAGAAAGATAAGAGGCGGGAGCAAAAGGTCAGGAATGAGTGACAGATAGGCAGAGATGACACAGGCAGCTTCAAAGTGACACTGTTTGTCATGTAGATGTGGTTTAGGGATGAAAAGGCCCAAGAAGAAAAGGGCCATTTCACAAAGTCCCTAGAGGCCATTTGAGGAGACAAACGGACTAGGATTTGGTTCCACTCTGCCTGCCTGCCCTTTGTAGCCCTGAAAATGATGCCCACATATAGAAGACCAGCCATCTCTCACTCTCTATCTCTATATCACTCTTTCTTCCCATGTTTTTACCCTTTCAGCACTTTTTTGCCTGTCGAAGATTATAGTACAAATAGCAAACTTCTCTGCAATCTGTCATCTTTCTCTGTTAATCTGTTTCTGCTTTTACTACTCTGCCAATTCTTCATCATTTTCTGCAAACATCCCATTTCCTTCATCTCACATCCATACATTTATTTTCCTTCTCGGTTCACTTATATCTTGTATCTCATATATCTCTTAGGCTGCCTGTCCACCTGTCTGCCACAGACAGCTTAAGATCGTTTCTATCCCACCACAACATCCCATTGTGCACACGGTGGCTGTCAAGTACCTTGTTGTCATGGTAACTTTGCAGAGTTGAGCGGGTGTCCTGTTGACATTTACAGTGTTGAAAAGCGCACCTTGAATCCAGACCAGGCGGCAGGGCTCGGCTGAGCTTTATGTTTGTGCCAGATAAGAGCAAGGGATCACAGAGTGTTAAACTGCATAATGTCGCAGGCTTTCCAAGGTACATCCAGAATAGTTAAACAACCACTGAAATATATTTCACCATGTTGGTGCCCACACACTTGCATAAACACAAGGAAGTAACATAGTTAAAGTATATGCATATTAAAGGTCACCTATTATGCAAAATCCACTTTTTCCTGTCTTTTATACATAAACATGTGTCCCCTCTGTGAAAAGAGATTCTGAAAGTTTCAGGAAAAAAGATTCTCTCACTTTTTGTCCTGATCCATTTATATAAAAACCTGTCTGAAAATGAGCTGATCAGATTTTGGCCACTTTATGATGTCATAACGATTTTGTGGCTTGTTTAACCATTAGCCAATAACCAACCAAGGTAACCCCCCCCCCCCCCCCACCTTATCACGATTTTGTGGCTTGTTTAACCATTAGCCAATAACCAACCAAGGTAACCCCCCCCCCCCCCCCCCACCTTATCACATGAATCTCCTCCGAGAACACCATTGTGTTCTTTTTAACAAAACATCTGTCAGAGGGGCTTAGGGAGTGGCTCCTTATTTTCATCTAAAGTAACAGACAGAGAATCAGCCCTTTTGAAACAGGGCTGAAACAGAGGGGATTATGGGATGCTACAATGCATGATCTGTTTGGTATTTTGAGCCAAACACTTCAGAGACATGTTTTGTATATATCTGAGACCTATTATAAAGTAATGAAAAACAGTATAATAGGGGAACTTTAAACTGTAGCATCAGAAGTTGCAAAACATTAACTTAAAATCAATTTAATGTCTATACATTTACACTTCTATTTTCTGACTCCCACCTGTGCATTTTAATAATCCTTGTTGCTATCCAAAGGGATTCATGTAGATGAAAGTGGCCTTGATTAGAATTAGATCCTCTGCCAACAGCTGTAATAGGCTAATATCATTTCAGGTTTAAAAGCCTATGACATGCTTAAAGGCACGCTCCCTAATTTTATCACAGCACAACCCCACATTTATTTCCCACCTCGCTGTTCTTTGAACTACATTTTAACTGACTAGTGATTAAAATAAAAATGACATTCTCTCTCTTAAAATAGCAGATCATTACCATCCAGTCCAAACTGCCTTAAAACAAGAAGAGACCAGACAAATATCAGCATAATGATATCACCTGTCTCTGCTTTTTCCAGCACACAAGGTCGCCACTTGTCCCCCGCTCTCTTTACCCTTGCTGCAGAGCCCTCAACAGATGTTTAGAGACATGGCCATTTAATAAGAATCTTCCAGGTGGGCGAGTCACAAAACAAGTTCCTATTCAGATTGATTTTGGCAAGCCCATCTGGATCCATCTCCAAAGTACAAACTCCACTGGACACCCTTGGTGCCTTTTAGGCTGTTAAGGTAAATGGAGTTCAATCATGAGTACGTTTTTTTATACTTGAAAAGCATTGTTAAGTGATACTGTTTGCTTTTGTTTTGACTTCATAGTTTGGCACTGAATCAGCTCATTGATTGTGGACAGCCTGTGTGAAACTTATATTAGCTTAAAAAAATATGGATGACAAAGCACTAGTGATTAGCAGACACTGTGTGGATGGTTTAGAGGAGTTCTTTTTAGCTTTAGAAACCACAAGAGTCCTCAGTGATCAATCCCTCAGCTTTAGAATGCTGCACCTCTGTTCTCTCTGAGTCTTTAGAAATATAATTAAGGGTAGTTTAGGGGAGCTGAGAGTACGGAGCATTCCCAGCAAATACACAAAGTCGGCGTGGCTCTGTCTATTTGGAGCACAGAAATCTCAGCCGCCATTTTGGTAACAGTCAAGTGCTTGGCATCGACCAGCAACACCTGCAAACTTCTGTTGATGATAAAGTATTACTGATGAAATCTTTGAATGAGTGTAATTCTTCAAACATCTGATCAGAAGTTATTTAACAGAAGGACAATACCAAAGCCTGGTTGTCTCACGCAGCGTATACAAACCTGACCCTGACTGTAACAAAAAGCTTTTACAGAAAGTAAAATGATACATTTGATTAGATGTCTCCCATTGAATAATTTAACACACTTTTCAACAGCTGTTAGATTTGATTCTTTGTTTTTGTCCTTGTAAAAAACACTTTTAGTTTCAGACATTGACAGTGAGGATTATTGAGAAGGGAGTCCTTTAAAGTCGTGAATACTGTAACAAAGTATCTATTTGGAGTAAAACATGTGAATGTTTCGTACCAGTGATGGAAGTTAAATTATTCATTGCTGTATTTGTGTTGTTTCATCCCTTCTGCTAGTTTGGGTTGTTATTTTAACTGAAAGTAATATCCTACAAAATAGACACACTGGACTGACTTTAAATTGCGTGTTTATTCTCCTTTTTTTATTTAAAAGGTATTACAGGGTTTTCAATGAATTCCTAATCTGAGCTCTTCCAAGTGTGAATAACCTCCATTTCGGGGATTAGTGAGGTTAAGACGTGTATTTTTACCTCGTGGAGAATAGTAGACCCGGAGCACTGTGGCACTAAGAGGATTGGGAAACTGCTGCTGATGTATCACACACTCTGACCCCTCATCTACCATGGCATTCTCCTCTTAAAGCAGTGTGTGTGTTGGTATTCACTATAATATTTGATTCACACACATACCCACAACAGTTGTTTGCAAGGTGGAAGATAACAGAGAAAACCTACGCACTCAACATAACTCCATGTACAATCCAATCCAATCCATAAATGCTGGAAATAACTCTCAAATGCACACAGGACAAGTCAAATCTCTTGACCTCCTATAAAATGCTCCATTAAGTGAGTAGGCCCAAGTTATTGTTCTCCCCTGTGTATCTCTGAATATCCTCTTTCCCGCTCTCTTGCTGTCTGCCCGTAAATATTGCTAATGTGGACAATAAATGTTTCAAAGTAGATTCTTGTTTCTCTGCCATGAGTCCAGCTGTTTTTGGGTGGGGATCTTTTTCACAATGGTCTATCTGTTTCCATGCGAGTACTCAGGGCCAGGTCATTTGTCAGTTTGTCAATTTGCACTTGGTTAAATGCAACATTAGTGGCGACACACTGTGTCGGGAAAAAAAACACATTTTCACACTTTATTCCTGTATTTAGTATTTGTCGGATACGCAGATGGTAGAAATGGTGAAAGCTGCGGTGGATGGAGAGTTGGAAAGACTCCAGCGTTAAAGTCCAGCAAAGAGAGAGCCAGTTGTGTGTGTGATTGATGAGATCGACTTCTGCTTTGCTGCCTGGTTTGGCCAGTGGCCCGGCAAGGTTCCACATCAGAGAGATCTTACCACACACTCTGCATCTGAGGATCCAGTCAATCCTCAGATCTATCTGCAGGGATTCAGAATGAATGAACGAGTTAGGAAGTTTAGTAATTAGCAAGTTTGTGCATCCTCTCAAGAAGACCCTTAACATTATCAAAGAAAAACGTGTTATTTAACTCCTTGCAAGCATCTAATAAT